TCATGCCACTGCACTAACATTTGAAGCTGTTGTTATGAAGCCAAACTTCTATAAGTGCCTTTATCTGATGTGACTACAGATCATTCTCAAGATGATATGTACTACAGAACAGTGAAAGCTTCTTTATGTAAAACTATTATCAACTGAAGTCTCTTGAAATACATTTCTGGTGGGGTTTTTGCCTTTTTTTTTTTTTTTTGTCTAGTTTGTGGGTATTTTTATTTATAATGGAGCAACTTTACACACTTACACTGAGCTTCTCCCATATTTACAGTGGTTTTGATCAAAAAGATTTTGAAAAACTCCATATTTATTCCTCTGCAGTGATTAAAATGGTAGGCACCTTCTAAACACAAAGATTTGTTGAAATATCTGAGGTTTTACAGCTCAGTATTTGAGAATAATACACAAACTATGTGCAGTAATCTTTTCCAATGCAATAGAGCTGTCACTGAGTTTTGCCTCCTAATTCTTCTCAAGGCACTTTGATAGGCCAACCCTCTGCTCACTTAAAGTGACTTCAGTTAAAAAAAAAAATATATATATATATAAAATCGTGTGTCTATTTCAAAAAGCAAAAGCAGCTATGGTTACTACACAGTGGCTTTTGCCAGAAAAAAAATAATCCATCATGAATATTATGTTGCAGCTCAACATTTCCTTTGTTTGATGAAACTGTTGCACACTGCAGCCCTACCCAAAACTACCTGATATGGACATAGTTTCCTGAAATATGGCACCATATGTGCATCAGTAAACATTATGTGTAGAGTAAATTAAACCAAGCCTTATAATTAGGCAGTAAGGAAATAATTGCAGACCTGAAAGAGTAAATCAGCAGTATTAAAGCACTCTCCATTTCCTCTGAAGCACTTCAGAGCACCATAAAAACCTCAATGTCACAGTGATGAACACCTAGAAGTGCATTTTGAGGGAGACAAAGACTTGTGCATTCAAATCAAAATCTTTATTGATTGTAATTCAATTAATAGTGCATTTTCCCTAATTCTTTAAATCAGATATTTGAAAATTTTACCATAAGTCCTTTCCTGAAGTAAATACACCAGTTATTCTACCCAGTGGGAGCAGAGAAAAAGTGGAAGTATTGATCAGCATGCCAGAGGCTCACAGCTCTTTGAGACCATGTTGGTGACATCACATATATTCATAAATTCAGTGGAAGCTGGAAGAGCAGAGGACTTCATCAAGTGGAGCATTGCTACCTCTGCCTTCTAAGCCAGAATCACACCAGAGTGCAGCCTAGCACCTTTGTACCTAGAAAACAACCACAAATCTAGAAAAGAACTACACACAATGCAGTGCACTCCTCTTAAATAGAACACAAGGCATAAACACGTAGCCCTGGCACAGAAATAAATCTGAATTAGCATTTGATAGTCTGCTTTTGGGGAGCCAGCTTCCAGATTTCCTTATTCAAGAGCACTGGAGTCACTGCAGGTGAAAATCAAACCTATTAAGCAACAAGAAAAGGTGCTGAGTTTCTCACAAGCAAGAGCTGATGCCACAGGTGGCCTTAGTTCAAAGAGTTTTAGATTAATTTGTGGCTGGCTCCCTGTAAAAAATGCCAGCATTTTGTCAAGATGTATTTTCATGCAACACAATGGGGCAATCTCAGTAATAACACTGCACTTCCCCTTGGAAACAGCCAAAAACTCCTCCTTGGTAATACAGCACAGGCTCTTGTGGATCGTCTGTTTAAGTGTGACCTTGCTTCAACTCTGCCTCTGCAAAATAAATCTTAATAAACCTTCCTGCAAGACTAAATTCTGAAGTTACAACCTCCTTGGATATTCTGTACTTCTTCACATTTGCACGGAGTTTTGCATCTTCAGAACAGTGAAGCAACTCTGACAAACTCTCAGTGTTATGTGAGCTAGGGAAGGTCTGTGGCCCTTTCATTCTCTGTTTTCTTTCCTTATTTCAATTATACAGATCTTGAATTTAAAAAATAAAAAACCTGCAGGATTTATAACCTTACCCAATGTCCACTTGTTTGCAAGAAAGGGCACATCAGAGAAGGAGAACACACTTCCCCAGCCCCCCCGAAATGCACTGATTGCTGCACTGTCAACTGGCTCTAGGGGACAGCTGCAAAGCCAAAGCACTCCTCACACAAATTTTATTTAGGGTGCCTAAATCTGAAATCAGATTGTTCATCACTCCCTTTGTATAAACAGCTCATACAAAACATGTCCTGGAAACCCCAGATCACCCTCCAGGGATGAACTCTCCAGTGGCTGAAGGAAATAATTTCTTTATATCAACACCTGATTTCTATACCTGACATCAGCTGGTGGGAATGTTCAGAGCTCTCTCTTTCCTCTTTCCCCTGCCCCTTCAGTATGAATTTTTTATTTCTTTGGATGTGCTTTTCATTGTCTTTGGGAAGCTGAAAGGAGTTTGTTTAATGTATACTAAGTTCGACTAGAATTGGGTTCACTGTTTCCACTAAAGATTTGATTTTTGCCTTTTGAGCCCTTATGCTTCCCTTGGGCTCATATTTTAATATTCAGATGCTGTGAACCTCCTAATGCTGGTACAACACAGAATACCTCAAGTGAGGTAGCTTCACCTTCAGAAACAACTTTATTTTCTGAGCTTCAGATTATTCTTCTAAAACTGGACAGTAAGTCTTGCTTATCCTCACAGAACACAATAAAGAGAGGATAAACAAAAAAATTAAGTCAGTTAATCATGATTTAAGGCACCAAGATTTAATTTCTAGGTGCTGCTGGCCCTCCCTACAGCATTTGCAAGTATCTGGTCTGGGTGTGAGACAGAAGCTTGGCTGCAATAACATGATGATAAGATTTCCTCTTTTGGAGGAAGACCTGTGTTTTCCTCAAAGCACTTATATTCTGTGAAGAAGCAACCTTTGCATATCTTTGAGCAGAGAGATTTAAGCCCACAGACTGAAAACTTATATAAGTGTCTATCCATAATATAATTGACATTGTATGGGTTAGCTTTGATAAAATCTGTTCCAACAGAACACATTCTTTCAGTTTTAGGTGTCCTGTCTAATTCCATGAGTTAATATTCATGCTTTTTATTCTGAGAGTCCTTGTAGAGTCTACACCAATTTTTGGCAGGCTTCAAAGTGCTAAACTTTTTTTTTTTTTTTTACCCTAAATAGCATTCATAAACAGCAATACAACTTAATTACGTGGAAGTGAGTAACAGAAAGAGTAAACTGAGACACTGCTGCTGAAGGAACAGAGAGAGATGATAAATAAGCCTAAGAACATGCTGAAGCCTGGGATCTAGCTCAAACTGGTGTAACCCATATTAAACAAAGGACAGCAAATTGCAAGTCTTTTCAGAAACCTATGAAGTTGATAAAAACTGAGTATGATCAAGATGTTGTCCCAAAGCTTTTTTTTTTACCCAATTTGCACAAATAAATTACAGGAGGTATTTGTCTCATCAAACTTTAGGCTTTTGCAAGCTTGACTTGCAGCCTATCACAGTTACTTAAACATTGCTATCAAGGATTTAATGATCATTGTGAGTGCCTTCAAACTCAGGGTATTCTGTGACTAAAATATAATATAATGATTGCAGATTGAAGGGAGGGATGTTATGGAATATGGCTGATAAGAGGCTGATGAAAATCATGCCCAGAGTCCACCAAGTGTCTTACAAAGGAATTTGCAAGAGCCCATCTTAGCACAGGGGAATGCAAATGACTGATCAAATATAGATAAGGGTCATGTGGAAGGATGTACTTACTGCATTATAGATAAAGAATTGGTTGGAGGCATAAAAAGGGCAAATATGATCTGTATTTTTCTTTTTTTTTTTAATTTTGACTTCTGCAGACGGTCTGCCTGGTAGAAAGATACCACAGCATGGTCACTATCAATATTAGTCCATGACTAAATGGTCAAACCTGATTCTGAGTACCCCAAAGTGTGTCCCCATTTTTAGGACACTGATAGTGGCTATTAGAAAAAGCAGCCACTGAAAAGAAGCAGTCAAAATCCTAACCCAACAGAAAGAGGGAAAATTATCTAAACCAAAGCAGAAATCTTGGAAAAACCTGTCTTACAGCTTTCAGCTTACTAAGGAGCTCTTATTAAATCACCAGTAACAAGGACAAACACCAGATACACCTGAAAGTGATTTTTGGGAAATCATATAGGAAAACAAGCTCTGTGGCCCTGTGGAAATCACATAAAGGGTTTATTTATGAATAGTAACCTGCTAGGGTTATACAATACCAATGTTCCTGCAGTTGCAGATAGCAGAGGAGAACAGAACCATCCTCTGGACTGGTGTTCTGAGGGAATGATGCTCATAATAGTAAATCTGCCTCTTTTTTTTGGTTTTTTTGTTTGTTTGTTTTTTTTTTCAAACACATATTAATCACTTGGCCAATTTTAAAACCATCTGACAGAGAGAAAATATCTTAAAGATGGTGAATAGCTGGAGTTGGAAGGAAAACTCTCTGTGTAGGAGAAGAGAGACTCAAATCAGTGCCCTGAGGAGGGAACTTGGTTGTGTGAAGTCAGAAGGGGCTGGCCAGAGAACCCACACAGGTACCAGCTGAGCAGGAGCCAGGAGCAGCCCGTCATTCTCTGCATTCACCTGGAGTAACAAACCAGCCTCAGGTAATGAGGAATGAGCAGGGAAAATGAGAGGAAACGTGAGAATCAAGGACCTGAGATTATTGCTGTAGAAAGCCCTAAACAGTAAAATGCTAGAGAAAGCAGAATTTTATTAATTAATTCAGGTGTTCACAATTTTGGCTTTCGTTCCTGTGTCTACAAAATTTCTGAATCTCTGGATTCTTCAGAGGTCTGTAGGATGCTGTCTGGAAAAGACAATCTGACAAGAAGATATTTTTGATACAAACAAGTGCTGAAGTGGAATATTTTGCCTCACAGTGGTGTGAATAATTCTTTTTTCTATATTCAAATATTAGCTACTACCTGTATGTAGCTACTAAGAGAATGTTGATATTTTTCTGCTTTTTGTGAGCTGGACTCTACCCAACAACACATAAAGGCCACAAAACTATAATCAGGTGGCAAAAAATCCATTTTGATACACCCAAATATGTTTGCATTTTGCACACCCAAACTTAGATTTCTAACAGTAAGATTAATTTCTATTAGGCATTCATTCCATTAAAGTGAAAGCCCAGGATGTCAGAACTAAATGTTCAAAAGTATTTAGCAAAATGCAACTAGTAATGCAGATATTTCAGGACTTTCTACTCCACAGTTCCTATTAATATATATGTTTTAATGAAGTTTTGTTGCCCAAAACTGCAAGGAAAAGCAGAATCCCACACTAAGAAAAATACAGTATTTTAAAATTTTTTCTTTTTTTCTACTTTCAGATAAAATATGAAAATGTAAAACATAGCAAAATTCTTTTAAACAAAGAAAAATCTCCCTGGCCATTGTAAAAATGAGGGTTTAATTTTTCATAATTATTCATATGTAAATATTTTTATTTGTGATGCTAAACTACAAATGAATTGATAAATTAATAAATTGGTTAATCAATAATAATTATAAGCTAAAACATAATAATAATAATAATAATAATAATAATAATAATAATAATAATAATAATAATAATAATAATTTGCAAAATGAATACTAGAAACTACTGGAAAAAATCCACACTAGACTTTTCAACACTCTCAGGCTTTTTTTTTAATATATAATTTTTTTTAATTTTAAAAAAATTAAATTTCTGGATAATTTCTGAAAGTTTTCAAGTTTTTAAGAAAATGATCATTTTCTGTGAAGAATTTATTTCATGCAATATTTCTAAGCAGCTTTAGTAATAACACAAACCTCAGTCTGTAGGAGCTGGATGAATACCCCTTAACAGCTGTATAAAAGCATAATTTCCAGTATAAACTGAGAATTGGTGGTGAAAAAGAAATCTTATCAGATCCAGCTCTTTCTCCAGCTTGTTCAAAATGAAAGGCTGATTCAGCCTGGAGAAAAAAAAGGCTTCCAGATCTTCTAGCACCTTCCAGTGCCTAAAGACACTACAAGAGAGCTGGACAGGGACTTTTGGAAAGGGCACGGAGTGACAGGACAGCAGGAATGGCTTTAAATTGCCAGAGGGCAGGGTTACAGAACCACAGAAATTTTAGGGTTGGAAGGGACCTCTGGAGATCATCCAGTCCAACCCCCTGTCAAGGCAGTGTCACCTGGAGGAGGTGACACAGGAATGTGTCCAGGTGGGTTTGGAAGGTCTCCAGAGAGGGAGACTCCACACCCTGCCTGGGCAGCCGTTCCAGTGCTCTGCCACCCTCAACATAAATAAGTTCTTTGTCACATTGAGGTGAAGCTTCTTGTGTTTTGGTTTATGGCCATTAGTCCTTGTCCTGTCACTGGGCACCACTGCAAGGAGTCTGGCACCATCCTGTGATCCCTGCCTTGGAAATATTTGTATGGACTGATGAGATCCCTCTTCTCTTTTCCAGACTAAACAAGCCCAATTCCTACAGTATCTCCTGATGTGGGGGATGCTCCAGACCCTTCATCATCCTTGTGGCCTCTGCTGGACCTTCTCCAGTAGCTCCTTGTTTAAATTGTACTGAGGAGCCTGGGTTAGATTTTAGGAAGGAATTGTTCCCTGTGAGGGTGGACAGGCCCTGGCACAGGGTGCCCAGAGCAGCTGTGGCTGCCCCTGGATCCCTGGAAGTGTCCCAGGCCAGGCTGGACAGGGCTTGGAGCAATATGGGACAGTGGGAGATGTCCCTGCCATGGCAGAGTGTTGGATAGGGATGAGTATTAGGGTCCTTTCCAATCCAAACCACCCTGTGATTCCACAAAAATCTAGTGAGGAATGGCAGCACTAAGCCATGGGCTGGTGAGGTGTGTCTGCTTCCAAGAATTTGCTCAGTCTGACTCAGCCTGATGTTCTTATTGGCAGTTTTTAGTAAGACATATAATTAGATCTTCAAAATACTTTCCCAATTCTCAGGAGAGTTGAAAAGATAACTTTAAAAGAGGTAATTCCATCAGAATAAGAAATATTGAAGTGACTGTGAATTGTGAGGTGGAATTTTAGCACCGTGTGTTCCATCCACAATCATTTCCCATGTCTGCATGTTATGCAGATAATGAAATCAAATCTCAGAAATAAAGAGCTAAGTGACCTGGGGAGAAAATGAAAAATCAGTCTTAGATGGGTGAATACTGAAGACTTGCAAGGGAGCCTGACTACCAATTGGAAAAAAAAAAAAAGAAGCTATTAATCTATATTTGTATTTTTCATTACCAAAACGCCTCTGTAGGTTATCTAGTTTTATGGTGTTAACAGTAAACATCCAAAGTCTGAAAAGCAAGTTTTAAAGGGGATTCATTAAGACAGAAGGCACGATGATATTCAAAGCTCTCCAATGATTTTTCCCAGAATAGAAAGACTGAAACAGTGGGACTCTGTAACCTCCACTGCAGCTCATCTCCTCTGAATCTTCAGGCCATCAAAGCAAGCCCTCAGTGACACCCTCGCATTCTGGAATTTCACAGGCAGGTCTGGGCAGCCACACACAGCTACTCTGCTGATTATATTAATGTGATGAAGCAGAACACCGATCATGATTCTGAAGGATTATGACTTACAGTCAGAATGCACATTGTTGAAAGCAGACTCCATCTTCCTCTGTGTTTGTGCAAAACCCAGCACAATTATGATTTCATCTTGATTAGTTTACTAGCAACTGCCACAATTTAGAAAACATTATACCTACGTGATTAACTTCCATAAATATCAGAAACTGTACTAAAAGCTTCATATCCAAGCAGGAAAATACAATATCTGTGCTTCACTTTTCCCACATCCAAAGTTCCAACCTCTCTGAGGCTGAACATTGCACAAGGGTGGATACACATGAGAAGCACACAGCTTATTGAGACAGGTGCCACTTTTATATCACGTTTCAGAGCAAATTTGGCTTTAGGGATGAGTAATTCAGGCAACTGCTGAGAGCCTCGCACAGAACTCACTCATGTGTTAGTCTGCTACTTCCTTGAAGCAGTGAGAACAGAGGTGGGAGGCAACACATGGTCCCAGCTCCACTGCAGAGACGAGGATCCCACAAATTTGGAGGTCAGAACAGCAGAGATCTTTCTTCTGTCATTAGCTGAGCAGCAGATGTGATGCCAGGCTTTATATAGGAGACTCAGTGATTCATATTGTCTGTAGGTCCACTGCAATGGGTTTGTTATTTGGCAAAATAAGCTCTGAGAAGATGATTTTCAAACACGTCTGCTAAAGGTTAAGAAGCAAGAGCTGAAATGAGCTGAGTTTTAGCAGTGCAGAGCATTGATTTCAAAATGCCTACAGGGGCCACTCTTTCCAAAACCATCATGCTGCAGATAGGGGCCTGAAAATACATTTAAATCTTTACTTGGTTTGGCAGTTTTCTGGATTTGGGATCATTTTCACAGAGGCCAGGTAGAATTTTCATCATCATCATCATCATCATCATCATCATCATCATCATCATCATCATTATTATTATTATTTAATTTGTATAAGAAATGCAGAATTGGGGTCATCTCAAAGGGAGAAAAAAGAGTTAAAAAGAGGCAATATGTCCTGCCTTAACTTGAAGGTGTAAAGAGAAATCTCTCCCTTTTGGTTGCCAATCTCCTTTCACTTCTTTTCCATCTCAAGCTTTTTGAATTAATCTTTCTTTCTTATCACAAAAAAAAAAAAATAAATAAATGCAATAGAAGAATAGAAGAAAGCCTAAGTTTATGGTTTAATCTAGGTTTTGCAGTTATTCATAAAATCATAGGATAGTTTGGGTTAGAAGGGGCATTTAAAGGCCATCTGGTTCACTTCCCTGTGCCACGGGCAGGGCCATCCTCAACAAGATCAGATTGTTCAGACCCACCCAAACTGGCCTTGAATGTTTGCAGGGATGGGACATCCACCTCTCTGGCAAAATTGTTATTTATTATGATTTTCTGTATCTTCACATGATCTTTATTTAATCCATCACCTTGGAAGTTCTCTTTGAATATATTTTACTCTTACAATTTTTCCTTTTCATATTCTGCTCATCTTTCCTGTTACTCCAGTGAGAGTATTCAAATAAAACACAAATAAGCACATATGCCAGTGTTTTTATGACTGAGGTTTTTGAGCTGCCAAGGCAGGGAAAGTCTGGACAATCTGCCTCCCTCCCACATGGAAAGACCATTGGGGGTTGCACTTGGAATGCATTTCCTTCTCCCTTTTCTTTTTTGTCACAGGAAATGCTGCTACTTTGCTTAATGTCATGTGCAATGTACGGCCATATCTAAATGAGGACACCAATTCTTTACACCTCCTCATGTGGCAAAACCAGTCTGAAGTTGGAAAGCAATGATTTCCTTGGAAAATCAGGAAACATTATCAAAGGCAGGGCTCACCTGTCTCCTAAGGTCTCGTGTCTTCTTGGTCATCTTGTCAATGGCAATGTTGAGTGGGTCTCCCTTCTCTTTCCGTCCAGTCTGTTAAAAACCCAAAATTTTAGAGTTAGAGAAAAATCCTCTAGGCAATATAAAATTTAAAAAAAAAATAGTAAGGATTCATCAAAGGAAATTATTGCAACTTTTTTGTTTGCCACCATCAAGTTGTTATTTCCAAAGTAATGTTTTCAACGTGTTTATGTGCAGGAGGCAGAGATTATTTTAGAACAATCCTAAAGTGATAAGAACAAAGATTAAGGTGACTCAACGGAGAGTTCAGAACTTTTCCACCAACAAATTATGTGCATATATTATAGCTAATACTCAAAAAAATCTGGCAAGACCTTTCACTATAAAATGAATATTAAGAGTTTCTAATCTCCATCCTGCCAAGCACTGGGAATGTTAAACATGATAATAAGCAGCAACACAGCTTGAGGACAGAAGGAAAATGGTCCCTGTGCCTGTAACAGGAATCATATTGGCAGACATTAGGTTCAGTATAAAGAAGAATTCCACTTAAAACACTTTCCTGCAGGAAGTCTCAAAGCAAAACTCCTCACGAAGATTAAAAAGGGGGAAAAAAAGCCTTTTGTGTCTCATAACCAATGGGGGGAAAATATGGTTTTCAGGTTCAATGGCACAAAAAGCATTAAATGACTTTGTTAGCTGTATTACTTTTCTCTTAAGAGAAAACTACTTCTCTAAAGATTTGTCACATCTTTTGCACATTGAACTCTGTTTGAAAGCTTTTCATCAAGAATCAAAATGATCTTCCATTCTTTCTGGCAGTACTCTTTCCTTCCCAAGGCTGTTTTCAAATGTTTCTATTTAGAATTGTTCCTTGCATATGATTAAGAGCGATTTTCTCCCTCCAGCTGAGCCTAATAGCACACATTTCTGGGAGCTATTGAGAAGTCACTTTTGGGGTGGGATGGGGATTAAAGACACCCTTTCAATGATACCTCTCACATGTACAGCACTGTTATCAGCCCTACATTGGCAAGAGGCCTCTGTTCCAGTCTTTGCTTTAGGCATTCATTCCAGAGAACGCCTGCTTTCTGTTATTGCCTATAATCCTAATTATGACACGAGGCCAACGCTTTTATGATCGTTTAAAAATCTGTAAAACCCATCTCCTTTTTTTATTCAGAAATTCAAACATAACAGTATCAAGTGCCACCAGAGTTTAATACAAAACATAAATTTACCTCTTAGCTTTCTAAAAAGGATCCATTACAAATTCTGGAATTAATCACACAAATTGACACCAGAAAACAGAGAGAGAAAGAATTTGCTATCACACAAGAGGAGGCATCTGTGTCACCCGCTGATATTTTTATCTCACTTTTCTTGTGTTCATCCTTTGACTGAGTTCTTCTGGTCCCCAGCTGAAGAACCACTTCTCTTTAGCCTGAGCAACGTTAGCACAGGCTTTTGGATTTAGATGTCCCAAATTCAGACCCTGGTGTTTTGTTCAAGACAGCAGGTGCCATATGTGCACACAATCGAGGCTGTTTTTCAAGCTGAAATTTCACAATAAAGCTGAGGCAGAAAACTTTGGTTCAGGAAGTCTCTCCTGACTGTTGGAATGGTACAGCAGGGACTGCAAGATAAGCCAGCCTCAGCCAGGTTCTAGTTTCTTAGACTACAGAGTTATAGTCTAAGAAAACTTAGAAAAAAAGAAAATTACTCCAGCTGTGTGCTGTGCAGTTGCTGAACCAGGTTTCCTTGGTTACATTCATGTTCTGGGATGCTTTATTTTTAATCTAATATTCTCTAAAGTCTTCTCTTCCTCCTCATTTTTTAAGCTTTCATTGTGTGGCTTAGAAAGATCCAAAACCACAGAAAACATGTCAAGACTTCTTCTTTTTTTTTTTTTTTTTAGGGCAAAGAAAACCTTTGCTTGGCACTTTTTCTTTCCTTATTTTTAATAAAATCAGAGAATAATTTGCTAAACAGGCTAAAATTCCTGTGAGTATTAACAGAATGTGAATAATCAAAGAGCAAACACCAAGACACTTACAGAGGGATGGTATTTTACAGGTCTCAAATAAAACAAGTGGTTAACAATTCCTCTTCACTGCTCTCATGGAGGGCAGATATATTTTGTATTCACCACCAACACGGTGAGGTCAAGCAATTGATGCTTGGCACATATTTAGGGGGTCAGAAAGTTGTCCTTGAGCAGGAACTTGGGAATCCTTCCAGGGTAGTCAGCTAAGGGATACAGTGACACTAAATAAATTAGGCATTTGATAAACTGCACCATTTAGAGGAAAAGGCTACTGGGCATTGAAAAAAAAAAAAAAAAAAAGGTAGAAATTTTGACAGTGACCTCCAAGTTTGTAATTTAGGTTCCTAATCTGGGTATGTCTCATAGATGGAAACTCTCACTGAGAGCAGGTCCATGGCAGCCTAAATCCCACACCCCTCCTGAGCCTCCCTTCAAATCCATCCAGTAACTTTTCAACTCCACTTTTAAATAAACACTGTTTATATAAACTGGCCCTTAAGGTACATCCTACTGTGAAGCACAAAACAACTGGGAACCCTTCTGTGACCCTTAGGCCACACAACACAAACTGTCCATATCCATCTGGCCGGCCCCTTGTCCCTCCAAAGCAGAGCAAAGCCTGTTCCACATTGCTGCCTGCAATTGCCCAAGTTGTGCCTCAGTGCTGCCTGAGATGCTAAATGGGATGTGCTGGAAAACTAAACCAAAACTAGAGATCCAGTTGAGCTCTTTCAATGGCAATATTTTATTAAAACGCACAAATATGGCTGAAGTCTCCCATTCTGCACTATTTTTACTTATCGAGGAATTTTAACTGATCTTCACCTGTTACTTATAAAATGGCCTGTATACAAACCCCCTTTTAGTCTGTATACAAACCCCCTTCTTCCCCATATGATTTCAAAGAAATTTGTTTAGTAAATCACGTTATTGAAAAATAACTAGCATGGCATGTGATGCTACACAGCTTCAGGCAGGTCTGTCAAACACCATCTGCTCTCTGCTGAAAATATAAGTTTATTAAAGTTTATTTATTTAAGTCCTTAAATACTCTTATTTTATTGTTGCTCTGTGATAAAATTTTGGCCTTCATTCTTAGAAGGGATAGAAAGGAATTTATTGGTTTCCTGAAAAAATGAAAAAGCTTGGTATTGAGCCATTTGCCATTTCTCTGTTAATCTTTCTCTGCAAAGGGAAGAAAGATACTTTGGGATGAAAAGGAAGTAAAAATTGCTGCTGGCATTGGGTTAAAAGGAGAAGGAGGAGAAAGGCACAGAATTCCTTGAATGCCAAAATATCTGTATTCAAGTTCCTATGGACAGAATTACATCTATTCATAGTGTAATGAGGAGAACTTTGCAACAGGAGAATATATTAATCAAGTCCCTGATTTCTTGTGACCATTACCAGCATTTGCATACTGCTTGTACTCGAGATATTTTCAAACAATTTTCTCAGTCTGAGTTGCTTCCATTCTAATTTCCTTAGAGCTTTTCCCTGCCCATCTGATTTATTCTCAGTTCAGGATGAGCCAATCCCACAGGCTCTGACCAGGTTTGTGCTGCTACAGACTCCCCCAGGTCAGGAGAGGATTTTCCACTGCATTTCTACCCCAAGGCTGCAGTTCCCCCCCAGGTCACTCAATGTCAGATCCAGTTCTCTGAATAGCATATTCAAGTGTTTTTAAGCCTGATTTGCCACTTGACATGAGAAGCTGTGTAGTTTCTCAACACATCCATGTCTGGTAAGTGGATGAAATCAAGGCACTGACTGTTCTATTACTCCAGAAAATTCCTACAGTCTCAACCAGTGTCAACAGTATTACCTGAACAATAAAGACAACAATGACATTTATATCAAAGTCTGAAAACTCTTACAAGTAAAACTGCATTTATTTATATAGGGAATTTCAACTTCATTTGGTTAGGAAATGAAATAAAATAAGAACAAAATACACTTAAGGATGGTGAGAAATTTCTGCATCTGCTGAATGCTAGAAAGATCTCTGCTAAGGTAGAGCACTGGTTTTCCTTTGTAAAAAGACCTTTCCCTCTCCTTCCATTTTTCCTTTTTACAGTTTAAACTGTTAGAGTAAAATATTAAACTCCCAAAATATATATCACAACTATTAAGGACATTTACATCCCGCAATTTGCTCATTACAGAACTCTTTTGATCAGCATGAGGTACTTAAAATGACATTTTCCTAACCCTAGAGAATATCACAGAACCAAGACAAGGACAGTCAGCCCAGAGACTCAGTGCATTTTAGATATGTTTAACCTTGGAAGAAGATGCTCCAGACTGGAACTGTGTTGTTGGTTTTTAATAATTCCAGATACCGCTAATGAGGAAGTCACAGAGATCAAATTTCAGCACATGAAACAGATGAAATTACTACTACCAAAATTATTATGATAAAGACAAATGTTATTGTAATGAATATCCTTGCATGGAAAAGTTAGAATCACTTAGAGATGCTGGAGAAGCAAAGGCAATACTTCAAGCATGTTATTATAAAAAATGCCAAATGAACAAGGCTGACAATGGTAACCTATAAAACAAGGGAATGGAGTGCCAAGAAATACACAAAAAGTGGGGCAGCTGCAGGCTACAAAATAATGTCACAGACAAAACCCCAATGTGAATCCCAACTAAAGGAGTGATTGTTAGAGAACACTGTTTTCCTTTAAAGTTCATAATTTAGAAGCTCAGGGTTTCAATTAAACAGTAACAATATTAATAACAATAATCTATGTAAGATGTTTTGGAACCACCATTTTCAGACATTCCTCTTTTTTCTCTGCTGCTTCAGATGTAAGCCAAAATATCTGGGAGAGCTCAATCTCTTCAAACATCAAGTGTTGCATGTCCAAGACACCCTCACTACTGTTTCAAGTAATTTAGCCTCCAGGAGACAGCTGGAAAGATT